GCCTGGTTTCCTATTATGACAAGCCTAGTTTCCTATTACGGCAAGCCTAGTTTCCTATTACGGCAAGCCTAGTTTCTTATTACGACAAGCCTAGTTTCCTATTACGGCAAGCCTAGTTTCCTATTACGGCAAAACTAGTTCCTATTACGACAAGCCTAGTTTCCTATTACGGCAAGCCTAGTCTCCTATTACGGCAAGCCTAGTTTCCTATTACGGCAAGCCTAGTCTCCTATTAGGACAAGCCTAGTCTCCTATTATGGCAAGCCTAGTTTCCTATTACGACAACCCTAGTTTCCTATTACGCCAAGCCTAGTCCCCTATTACAGCAAACCTAGTTTCCTATTACGACAACCCTAGTTTCCTATTATGGCAAACCTAGTTTCCTATTACGACAAGCCTAGTTTCCTATTACGGCAAGCCTAGTCTCCTATTACGGCAAACCTAGTTTCCTATTACGACAAGCCTAGTTTCCTATTACGGCAAGCCTAGTCTCCTATTACGGCAAGCCTAGTTTCCTATTACGATAAGCCTAGTCTCCTATTACGACAAGCCTAGTCTCCTATTACGGCAAGCCTAGTCTCCTATTAAGATAAGCCTGGTCTCCTATTACGACAACCCTAGTCTCCTATTACGACAAGCCTAGTTTCCTATTATGGCAAACCTAGTTTCCTATTACGACAACCCTAGTTTCCTATTACGGCTAGCCTAGTCTCCTATTACGGCAAACCTAGTTTCCTATTACGACAAGCCTAGTTTCCTTTTACGGCAAGCCTAGTCTCCTATTACGGCAAACCTAGTTTCCTATTACGACAAGCCTAGTTTCCTATTACGGCAAGCCTAGTCTCCTATTACGGCAAACCTAGTTTCCTATTACGACAAGCCTAGTTTCCTATTACGGCAAGCCTAGTCTCCCATTACGGCAAGCCTAGTTTCCTATTACGATAAGCCTAGTCTCCTATTACGACAAGCCTAGTCTCCTATTACGGCAAGCCTAGTCTCCTATTAAGATAAGCCTGGTCTCCTATTACGACAACCCTAGTCTCCTATTACGACAAGCCTAGTTTCCTATTATGGCAAACCTAGTTTCCTATTACGACAACCCTAGTTTCCTATTACGGCTAGCCTAGTCTCCTATTACGGCAAACCTAGTTTCCTATTACGACAAGCCTAGTTTCCTATTACAGCAAGCCTAGTCTCCTATTACGGCAAACCTAGTTTCCTATTACGACAAGCCTAGTTTCCTATTACGGCAAGCCTAGTCTCCTATTACGGCAAGCCTAGTTTCCTATTACGATAAGCCTAGTCTCCTATTACGACAAGCCTAGTCTCCTATTACGGCAAGCCTAGTCTCCTATTAAGATAAGCCTGGTCTCCTATTACGACACTCCTAGTCTCCTATTACGACAAGCCTAGTTTCCTATTATGGCAAACCTAGTTTCCTATTACGACAACCCTAGTTTCCTATTACGGCTAGCCTAGTCTCCTATTACGGCAAACCTAGTTTCCTATTACGACAAGCCTAGTTTCCTATTACGGCAAGCCTAGTCTCCTATTACGGCAAACCTAGTTTCCTATTACGACAAGCCTAGTTTCCTATTACGGCAAGCCTAGTCTCCTATTACGGCAAGCCTAGTTTCCTATTACGATAAGCCTAGTCTCCTATTACGACAAGCCTAGTCTCCTATTACGGCAAGCCTGGTCTCCTATTAAGATAAGCCTGGTCTCCTATTACGACAAGCCTAGTCTCCTATTACGGCAAGCCTAGTTTCCTATTACGACAACCCTAGTCTCCTATTACGACAAGCCTAGTCTCCTATTACAGCAAGCCTAGTCTCCTATTACGATAAGCCTGGTCTCCTATTATGACAAGCCTAGTCTCCCCTAAGGACAAGCATAGTTTCCTATTACGACAAGCATAGTTTCCTATTATGACAAGCATGGCAATCATTCTGAACCAGTTCTCAATGCTTCAATTTTACAACAAACTGGAACCAAAAATAACTCACACAAAATGTAAACATAGTAAACATAGTAAACATAGTAAACATTTTGTTCATGTTAAATTAGGATGAGCTACAAACTTAACATTTTTATGAGGCTACGCATGGGTTTTGCTTAAGTGGAAACGTCTAAGACCTACATAACTACAGGTATTCATCCCACATCAAGCTCACACACTGAAATACCTAAAATACTGTTCAGAGTGACATTAGATTGACTCACTCACTCACTGTAGCTACTGATGCCATCAGCTGTTACTTGCTCACACACCCATGGCTATCCAGTTCCCATGTAAAGTGTATTGAGTCAAAGAGCCCTCGGCCAAACAGCCAGGCCGCTATCTCACAGCCTTTGGGGAAGTAATATTCACTGAATGCATGATTGTGTGTGTCTCTCATGTAGGAATATGCCTTCCTCTGTCGAGATAAATCTATTTAAAACTCTGTTTTTCCATGCATTGACACAGTGATATTCTGAAATATGACTTGTAATAACTGTCCTCTGAATTAGCATATAGATTTATTTAATCTTTCCTCAGGAGATATTTATGTTTGTGTGTCGGTGAAATGGCCTGATCTGTTATGATGTAACCCTTCCTAATGTCTTCTTCTTCCTAATTTCAAAAGCACCTAAAAAGTGTATAACCTCCTCCAGTTGGTATTCCTGCAGTAGTTAGAGATATCTGTGTCTTGTCGGTCACAATAATCTGTATGAGGAAGCAGTGTGTAGTGTCGGTGTGGACTTTGTTTTATGATGGTTATGTTAGGTTCTTGAGAATATTTCCGTTTTGATACCAGTGAAGATGCAGGTTACAATTGATCTCCAGCAACCCATGCTTGTTGAAAGAGGTGACTAGCAACAGTTGGAGTTATAACAAGGAGTTATGGGCATGCTGATAAAAATAGGTTCAATCTGGGATTCAAACCCACTGCTAGCAGATCCTGGCACAGCTAGGGGATGTTACTCCTCCTCCTCACCTGAAGGCTGTTGTTGACACTGGATACTGGGGTCACCAGTTGTATTCACAAATCATCAGTTTATAATATCAGTTGTCTGGGAATCCGCATCATCAGTTTATAATATCAGTTGTCTGGAAATCTGCATCATCAGTCTATAATTTTAGTTGTCTAGGAATCTGCATCATCAGTTTATAATATCAGTTGTCTGGAAATCTGCATCATCAGTTTATAATATCAGTTGTCTGGGAATCCGCATCATCAGATTATAATATCAGTTGTCTGGGAATCCGCATCATCAGTTTATAATATCAGTTGTCTGGGAATCTGCATCATCAGTGTATCTTCATAACGAAAACAGAATCTAGCAGAGTGAACAATACATTCAATAAACCAACATTCTTTGTAACTTTACACTGATTTATTATCACAATATGTATGAGAATGTTTGGAATGTGATGTTCTTTATGATGGTCAAGGTCGTGGTTAAGAAATAATTCAAGGCAACTACTTCTTGTTAAAGTAACTTGTGGCTGACTGCCATGTGTGGCAAGTCTCTAAGTTGATGGTTACACCCCACCAGCCACTGGCTATAAATGTGGCTTGGAACACATGCGGTTGGAAGTGATATTGCCACAGGTTTCTGTAATGAATGAAGTGTTTTGATATCTAAAAATATTACGACAACGTAATTAATGATATCCTGACACTTTCTTCATGCTCGGATGTCGGAAGCAAACAAAATCTCATCATGGCAGGATATAGCCATGTCCTGTATCAATGAGCTCAGATGATGAGGCACAGAATGTGATGCAGTTGCCTAAAGAGATGAAAAGTTCACAGGTGACAGAAATTCTGCAAACCTAAAATTACCAGCCTTATGGACCCGTGAATATCTGGGGTAGAATAGGTCTTCAGCAACCCATGCTTCTCGTAAGGCGACTAATGGGATCGGGTGGTCAGGCTCGCTGACTTGGTTGATGCATGTCATCCTATCCCAATTGTGTAGATTGATGTTATTAATGTCCATCACTGGATTGTGTGGTCCAGACTCGATTATTAACAGAACGCCGTCATTTAGCTGGAATATGCTGAGTGCGGCGTTAAACAACAAACAAACAAACACCTGGCCTCATGAGAATCATAGGGAGTATATTATTCCTATTGGTTCTGCCATGATATGTAGAAAGCTAGTTAAGTATCCTGAGGCTAATGAAAACATGTTGCCACAGAGACAAGTATTCATGCACTGTTGTTACAGAAATAGGCTGCTCAGTTAGTTAGAAGTAAATTCCTCCAATTACTTCACCTCGTTTAGTACAGTCAACAGTATACTTCACAGAGCTGTTTCCATAATTGCTGCTGCAGCAATTTGCCAGGTGCACTTAAGCATTTTTCTTTGTTTGAATGTTATTGTTCAGTAACAGACTTGTGACTGCCATCTGATTAGGAGCACAGTCAACAGATGATTGCATCTTGTGAGTGAAAGGCTCGGATGTGATTCAAGTAGGAGCTCATTATAATCTTCTATATGTATTGGTGAGACCAGATCAGTTTATTCTCAGTGATTTTGTCAGATGAGGGAGTCAGTTGTGTTCAACACCACTTTGAACAGAATTTAAGTTATGTCACGACGTGTCAGATTAATGTGAGAGGAAATTCTAAAAGGAAGCACGTCTCAGACGTTGACCACTTTGTGAAATCTACAAGCATGGGTGCTGGCAAACCTAGAGACATAAGACAATGTGAGTGAGAATTACTCTGTTGCCAAGACGATTTGATGTTAATCTAAATTGATCCCACCCTGACATAAAAGATTATCAGTCAATATATGTGATCAGACATTAGTATTTGTATGTGTGTACGCTGAGGCTGATGTAATATGAGATTGCAAATGTAAAGGTTCCATGTAGTCACAGAGAGCATCCAGTGCCAGGTGTGTACAGCACGGTCATTACAAGGTAACATGTTGGAATGGAAGTTTCATCAAGTAAGTTATATTTTACTGATTGAAGACACTGATGCAATATATGAATAATTACCATGAACCTCCACCCCCTCATTTACACTGCCACTCCTCAATTGCCCCTCAAACATGTGCCCCTTACTCTGACTCTGACCCTCCACCCCAAACAGGTGCCCCCTTACTCTGACCCTCCACCCAAAACAGGTGCCCCCTCACTCTGTCCCTCCACCCCAAACAGGTGCCCCCTCACTCTCATCATCCCTCCACCCCAAACAGGTGCCCCCACACTCTCACTCTCTACCCCAACCCCAAACAGGTGCCCCCGCACTCTCACTCTGTCCCTCCATCCCAAACAGGTGCCCCCTCACTCTCACTCTGTCCCTCCATCCCAAACAGGTGCCCCCTCACTCTCACTCTCTACCTCCACCCCAAACACCTGCCCCCTCACTGTGTCCCTCCACCCCAAACACAGGTGCCCCCTTGCTGTGTCCCTCCACCCCAAACAGGTGCCCCCTCACTCTCACTCTGTCCCTCCACCCCAAACAGGTGCCCCCTCACTGTGTCCCTCCACCCCAAACAGGTTCTCCCTCCCTCTCACTCTGTCCCTCCACCCCAAAAAGGTGCCCCCGCACTCTCACTCTCTACCTCCACCCCCACCCCCATACAGGTTCCCCCTCACACTTATTCTGACCCTCCACCCCAAACACAGTTGCCCCCTCACGCTGTCCCTCCACCCTAAACAGCTGCCCGTTCACTCTCACTCTGTCCCTCCATCCCAAACAGGTGCCCCCTCACACTCAATCTGTCCCTTCACCCCAAACATGTGCCCCCTCACTCTGTCCCTCCACCCCAAACAGGTTCCCCCTCACTCTCATCGTCCCTCCACCCCAAACAGGTGCATCCGCACTCTCACTCTCTACCTCCACCCCCATACAGGTTCCCCCTCACACTCATTCTGACCCTCCACCCCAAACACAGGTGCCCCCTCTCTCTCACTCTGTCCCTCCACCCAAAACAGGTGCATCCGCACTCTCACTCTCTACCTCAACCCCAAACAGGTTCCCCCTCACTCTCACTCTGTCCCTCCACCCCAAACAGGTGCCCCCGCACTCTCACTCTGTCCCTCCACCCCAAACAGGTGCCCCCTCACTGTGTCCCTCCACCCCAAACAGGTTCCCCCTCACTCTCACTCTGTCCTTCCACCCCAAACAGGTGCCCCCGCACTCTCACTCTGTCCCTCCACCCCAAACAGGTGCCCCCTCATTCTGTCCCTCCACCCCAAACAGGTGCCACTGCACTCTCACTCTCTACCTCCACCCCCAACAGATTCCCCCTCACTCTCATTCTGACCCTCCACCCCAAACACAGCTGCCCCCTCACGCTGTCCCTCCACCCCAAACAGCTGCCCCCTCACTCTCACTCTGTCCCTCCATCCCAAACAGGTGCCCCCTCACTCTCACTCTCTACCTCCGTCCCAAACACCTGCCCCCTCACTCTGTCCCTCCACCCCAAACACAGGTGCCCCCTCGCTGTGTCCCTCCACCCCAAACACAGGTGCCCCCTCGCTGTGTCCCTCCACCCCGAACAGGTGCCCCCTCACTCTCACTCTGTCCCTCCACCCCAAACACCTGCCCCCTCACTGTGTCCCTCCACCCCAAACAGGTCCTCTCTCACTCTGTCCCTTCACCCTAAACATGTGCCCCCTCACTCTGTCCCTCCACCCCAAACAGGTTCCCCCTCACTCTCATCGTCCCTCCACCCCAAACAGGTGCCCCCACACTCTCACTCTCTACCTCAACCCCCAACAGATTCCCCCTCACTCTCATTCTGACCTTCCACCCCAAACACAGCTGCCCCCTCACAATGTCCCTCCACCCCAAACAGGTGCCCCCTTCCTCTCACTCTGTCCCTCCATCCCAAACAGGTGCCCCTCACTCTCACTCTGTCCCTCCATCCCAAACAGGTGCCCCCTCACTCTCACTCTGTCCCTCCATCCCAAACAGGTGCCCCCTCACTCTGTCCCTCCACCCCAAACACAGGTGCCCCCTCACTCTGTCCCTCCACCCCAAACAGGGGCCCCCTCACTCTCACTCTGTCCCTCCACCCCAAACAGGTTCCCCCTCACCCTAATTCTGTCCCTCCACCCCAAACAGGTGCCCCCACTCTCTCACTCTGTCCCTCCACCCCAAATAGGGTGCACCCTCACTCTGTCCCTCCATCCCAAACAGGTGCCCCCTCACTCTGTCCCTCCACCCCAAACAGGTACCCCCTCACTCTGTCCCTCCATCCCAAACAGGTGCCCCCTCACTCTGTCCCTCCACCCCAAACACAGGTGCCCCCTCACTCTGTCCCTCTATCCCAAACAGGTGCCTCCTCATTCTGTCCCTCCATCCCAAACAGGTGCCCCCTCATTCTGTCCCTCCATCCCAAACAGGTGCCCCCTCATTCTGTCCCTCCATCCCAAACAGGTGCCCCCTCTGTCTGTCCCTTCATCCCAAACAGTTTCCCCCTCACTCTCACTCTGTCCCTCCACCCCAAACAGGTGCCCCCCTCACTCTCACTCTGACCCTCCACCCCAAACAGGTGCCCCCTCACTCTGTCCCTCCACCCCAAACAGGTGCACCCTCACTCTAATTCTGTCCCTCCACCCCAAACAGGTGCCCCCACTCTCTCACTCTGTCCCTCCATCCCAAACAGGTGCCCCTTCATTCTGTCCCTCCATCCCAAACAGGTGCCCCCCATTCTGTCCCTCCACCCCAAACACAGGTGCCCCCTCACTCTGTCCCTCTATCCGAAACAGGTGCCTCCTCATTCTGTCCCTCCATCCCAAACAGGTGCCCCCTCATTCTGTCCCTCCATCCCAAACAGGTGCCCCCTCATTCTGTCCCTCCATCCCAAACAGGTGCCCCCTCTGTCTGTCCCTTCATCCCAAACAGTTCCCCCTCACTCTCACTCTGTCCCTCCACCCCAAACAGATGCCCCCCTCACTCTCACTCTGACCCTCCACCCCAAACAGGTGCCCCCTCACTCTGTCCCTCCACCCCAAACAGGTGCACCCTCACTCTAATTCTGTCCCTCCACCCCAAACAGGTGCCCCCACTCTCTCACTCTGTCCCTCCATCCCAAACAGGTGCCCCTTCATTCTGTCCCTCCATCCCAAACAGGTGCCCCCCATTCTGTCCCTCCACCCCAAACACAGGTGCCCCCTCACTCTGTCCCTCTATCCCAAACAGGTGCCTCCTCATTCTGTCCCTCCATCCCAAACAGGTGCCCCCTCATTCTGTCCCTCCATCCCAAACAGGTGCCCCCTCATTCTGTCCCTCCATCCCAAACAGGTGCCCCCTCTGTCTGTCCCTTCATCCCAAACAGTTTCCCCCTCACTCTCACTCTGTCCCTCCACCCCAAACAGGTGCCCCCCTCACTCTCACTCTGACCCTCCACCCCAAACAGGTGCCCCCTCACTCTGTCCCTCCACCCCAAACAGGTGCACCCTCACTCTAATTCTGTCCCTCCACCCCAAACAGGTGCCCCCACTCTCTCACTCTGTTCCTCCATCCCAAACAGGTGCCCCTTCATTCTGTCCCTCCATCCCAAACAGGTGCCCCCCATTCTGTCCTTCCATCCCAAACAGGTGCCCCCTCACTCTGTCCCTTCATCCTAAAAAGTTTCCCCCTCACTCTCACTCTGTCCCTCCACCCCAAACAGGTGCCCCCCTCACTCTCACTCTGACCCTCCACCCCAAACAGGTGCCCCCTCACTCTGTCCCTCCACCCCAAACAGGTGCCCCCTCTCTCTGACCCTCCACCCCAAACAGGTGCCCCCTCTCTCTGACCCTCCACCCCAAACAGGTGCCCCCTCACTCTGTCCCTCCACCCCAAACAGGTGCCCCCTCTCTCTGTCCCTCCACCCCAAACAGGTGCCCCGTCACTAGGTCCCTCCACCCCAAACAGGTGCCCCCCTCACTCTGTCCCTCCACCCCAAACAGGTGCCCCCTCACTCTGTCCCTCCATCCCAAACAGGTGCACCCTCACTCTAATTCTGTCCCTCCACCCCAAACAGGTGCCCCCACTCTCTCACTCTGTCCCTCCATCCCAAACAGGTGCCCCTTCATTCTGTCCCTCCGTCCCAAACAGGTGCCCCCCATTCTGTCCTTCCATCCCAAACAGGTGCCCCCTCACTCTGTCCCTTCATCCTAAAAAGTTTCCCCCTCACTCTCACTCTGTCCCTCCACACCAAACAGGTGCCCCCCTCACTCTCACTCTGACCCTCCACCCCAAACAGGTGCCCCCTCACTCTGTCCCTCCACCCCAAACAGGTGCCCCCTCTCTCTGTCCCTCCACCCCAAACAGGTGCCCCGTCACTAGGTCCCTCCACCCCAAACAGGTGCCCCCTCACTCTGTCCCTCCACCCCAAACAGGTGCCCCCTCTCTCTGTCCCTCCACCCCAAACAGGTGCCCCGTCACTAGGTCCCTCCACCCCAAACAGGTGCCCCCCTCACTCTGTCCCTCCACCCCAAACAGGTGCCCTCTGTCTCAATGTATTATGATTCTCTGTTAGTTCTGGTGCTGTAGGTAAGACACACTGGGTATGTTGACAACCGCGGAGTGGGCTGGAGTAGAGGGACAACAGGATGCCGCTTCCAATGTGATATAGTTTCACTTCTATTGATCTGCCATTTGGCCAGTATTAATATTTAACTGAGTTATGTTCATTCTAATGGTGCTTGGCAAACCACTTCTGTCTGAATTAGTTGCATATGGAAATAGATTTCATTTTGTTTCACTGCAATACAGGAACTATTTATAATCTGTTGTTGTTTTTTCACAGTTCCACACTAGATTGAATTGCACTGACACAACCAAATACAGAAATTAATATTTCTTTGCTGTTACTTTTAGGTTAGGATTCATTCTCTCATTGTCAAAAGGAGTTATTTATTAATGTGGTAATAGATCGATCAGGTGCTTAATTGCAACTGAAACTGTATATTCTATACACTTTTAAATATTTGAAAATAGTGGCAGAAAATATTTTTTAGATATTTTTTGAAATTTTTCATGAAAAAGTATGTAAACTTTTACATGCATTTTTTCAAAAGAAAAGAAACAAACAAATACTTTACAGACTTGGTTAATGAGAATATGAATAAAAAAATCAAATCTCTCTGTTCCTATTAATGGACAAATTTCAAAGAGGCGTAGAGTCCTCCCTACCTTCAGGAGGTGTACTCCGTTACTCCGTGTAGATGGTGTGACTACATCCGACTCGGGCCTCCCGGTATTCCCTACAACCACCTCCTAGCTGCCGACCACGTCAGCTCCAGACAGGTGTTCCAACTGTCCAAGTTGGCAGAGCTGTGTCGGAGGAGGCAGACAGAACTGTCCCTCCCTCTCCGAGCGTGTGGCCCAGTCTCTGTATTACAGTAAATTGTAGCACGTTTACTGCCTTGATAAGGGCTATAAACCAGACATGCCTGTGTTGAAGGCTTTCTGCTTGTTTAAGTCCACTTCAAGTTTGTCTGTCACAGCCTGTTAGAAATTGTCAGCTTCAGGCAGAGAGAGGACATAAATCCTGAAATGCATGTGGTATGAGGTGCATGTTGACGCACTTACCATTTTGTTAACAAAAAATTCAAATACTTGTCTTCTCTCTCAGTTCATAATTTCACAGTCATTCACAGTATATCTGTGAAGTTGTCACAGAAAAAGCATTATTTTAACAGAAACAGTTATTTCCTAATCAGTGGTTGGTATAATGTAACAATTCATCTGTCGTCAATGTAAGAAATAGTAAGCTCACTTACATTGATGAAGCTGCTGTCACTACAGGCCTCACAGGTCTCTCCTCCCCCCGTTTTAGTCTGGAAATCCCCCACTGTTAAAACACAATACTATCTTCCTCGTCAAGCTCTGCAACCTGGACTTAACATGGACTCTCTATCATTAGCATCAGTCCATCGAGTTTAGGAGCTCACAAACAACTGGATGATCGCTCATGGTTGGGGATTATGAGAATATGATGGCAGGAGCAGGCTTGAAATTTCCTTCATTAATAATGTACACTGGTATAATTCTCAAGCAGCCGTGTACAGGAAGAAGCCTGTCAATATTAGGACAGCACAATTACCTACATCAGCGGCACATGCTGCTGAAGACATCGCTCCACTTAGAGGGAGGGACTCCTTCTTCATTAACTTTATATGGTGTGGTCCCCATGTCACCAGCGCCGGAGCAGACAATTGAGGCTGCACCAATCAGAGCAGGGACTGGCTCCGCGCATTGTCGTCCAGCTTCCCATGTGGATGTCTCTTGATTTGTTCATTTCACTTGAGACTGTAGGGGGCTAGTTATGCTAATGCTTGTTTTCACATAGCTCATTTGCATAACGACCACGGAAATTCCAGATCTGTTTCTGCTGAGCAGTGTGTTGTACCACTGTGACTTTTGTCTGTTTCACAGTGATTTAATTTTCATTTTGTGACTAAAAATACATCCAATAGTTTACATAGTAAATGCTATAAACAAGGGACATACAAACATTGTATTTCTTCCTACAAATACATTGGTTCAAGTGAGAGATTGGAGTGCCTACTATGCAGTCACAGCCATGGCCTCGGTGTTCCCAACATCAGGTTCCCGACCTGGGTGTTCCCGGGGCTGAATTAACCATGAGCATGTATGTTCACTTCACAAGTAAACAAATTGATTCAGTTTTCAAAAGGAGAAGTTATGTTCATTGAGATATGCATTCATATTTCATGAGGCAGCTGGTTTGTACAGCCGATGAAACAATGTCAGCAGCAGGCCGGGGTGAGTTTCCCACCCCGGATATATGTGGGGACTTACGTACTAATCCCTGCTGTATATGAGGACTATAGCTGCTACAGCAATGTAGCATTACTCACAAGGAAGCTAACTGTCTCACGTACATATGGACTAGCTCTGCTCCTCTCTAAGATCAACTGAGTAAATCTGACACTTGTAGAGCTCCAGTGTATTCGGTATCAGTATTGCAGTGGAGTTTATCCACAAACACAAGTAATGGCTGACTTCACTTGCCACTTAATAATGTCACAGAACATTGTGGATGTCACACCCAAAATTATTGCACTTAATACATTTTTTTTTCCTTTCTGCTTTTGACACATGAGCCCTGAACGGCGTTGCTTGAATAAAGCTACATTGTGCAGAGAGTTCCATTTGTAGTATAATTCATGGAAGAATCATGAAATAAAAAGCTTGTCTCATGTGAGCTTTAAGTTTGACATTTGTTGCAAATACACTTGATATTGAAGGCGTTTGAAGAGATGGGCTTGTTCAGTGGAGATAAATGTCAACAGGTATGTGTAGTTCCTCATGGTGTAAATGTGTGTGGACATGTTAGGAAGGAATCAGATGGAAAGTACCTGGAATATATATATATATACAATATGACAATCATTGCCTCATTCATCTCAAGGGTCGGTGGTCAAATGACTGTCACACACATTGTGAGTTCATTAACTGTAATGTCAAGGAAATATAAAATGTCAACACTGGAGAATAACCGGTCTCAATTATCTGCCAAAACAGATTCCACTGGGTGTAAAAGGCAAAATAGTGGTAACAATTATATGAATGGATCACTGAAAATATTTGATGCCATGTGTGAAAAGAGCAAGCATGTCCTACCCCTCGATAACACCCACCACCTGCACCCACCACCAACACCCACCACCTACACCAACCTACACCCACCACCTACACCAATCACCTGCACCCATCACCTGCACCCACTACCTGCACCCACCACCTGCACCCACCACCTACACCCATCACCTGCACCCACCACCTACACCAACCACCTACACCCACCACCTGCACCCACCACCTACACCCATCACCTGCACCCACCACCTGCACCCACTACCTACACCCATCACCTGCACCCACCACCTCCACCCACCACCTGCACCCATCACCTGCACCCATCACCTCCACCCACCACCTGCACCCACCACCTACACCCATCACCTGCACCCACCACCTGCACCCACCACCTACACCCACCACCTGCACCAACCACCTACACCCATCACCTGCACCCATCACCTACACCCACCACCTCCACCCACCACCTGCACCCATCACCTGCACCCATCACCTGCACCCACCACCTGCACCCACCACCTACACCCATCACCTGCACCCACCACCTACACCAACCACCTACACCCACCACCTGCACCCACCACCTACACCCATCACCTGCACCCACCACCTGCACCACCTACACCCACCACCTGCACCCACCACCTACACCCATCACCTGCACCCACCACCTGCACCCACTACCTACACCCATCACCTGCACCCACCACCTCCACCCACCACCTGCACCCATCACCTGCACCCATCACCTCCACCCACCACCTGCACCCACCACCTACACCCATCACCTGCACCCACCACCTGCACCCACCACCTACACCCACCACCTGCACCAACCACCTACACCCATCACCTGCACCCATCACCTACACCCACCACCTCCACCCACCACCTGCACCCATCACCTGCACCCATCACCTGCACCCACCACCTGCACCCACCACCTACACCCATCACCTGCACCCACCACCTGCACCCACCACCTACACCCACCACCTGCACCAACCACCTACACCCACCACCTACACCCATCACCTACACTCACCATCTACACCCATCACCTGCACCCATCACCTACACCCACCACCTACACCCACCACCTACACCCATCACCTGCACCCACCACCTCCACCCACCACCTGCACCCATCACCTGCACCCACCACCTCCACCCACCACCTGCACCCATCACCTGCACCCATCACCTGCACCCACCACCTACACCCACTACCTACACCCACTACCTACACCCACCACCTACACCCACCACCTGCACCCACCACCTGCACCCATCACCTGCACCCATCACCTCCACCCACCACCTACACCCACTACCTACACCCATCACCTACACCCACCACCTACACCCACCACCTGCACCAATCCTACACCCACCACCTACACCCACCACCTACACCCACCACCTACACCCATCACCTGCACCCACCACCTACACCCACCACCTACACCCACTACCTACACCCATCACCTGCACAGTGACAAAGTATGGGTTTGTTGCCTGTCACCACACAGCAGTACTCCTGCCATACAACGGCAGTCTGTAGACATTGCCTCAACATCAGTGAGACGTTACGAGAATATAAACCCTTGTCTATGGTATAACCTGCCTCAACATCAGTCAGATGTTACCAGAATATTAACCCTAGTCTATGGTATAACCTGCCTTAACATCAGTGAGATGTTACCAGAATATTAACCCTAGTCTATGGTATAACCTGCCTTAACATCAGTGAGATGTTACCAGAATATTAACCCTAGTCTAAGGTATAACCTGCCTTAACATCAGTGAGATGTTACCAGAATATTAACCCTAGTCTATGGTATAACCTGCCTTAACATCAGTGAGATGTTACCAGAATATTAACCCTAGTCTATGGTATAACCTGCCTCAAGATCAGTGAGGAGACATAATATAAACCATGCTTTAACATCAGTGAAATGTGAGAATATAAACCCTGCCTTGTCATCAGTGAGATGTGAGAATATAAACCCTGCCTTGTCATCAGTGAGATGTGAGAATATAAACCCTGCCTTGTCATCAGTGAGATGTGAGAATATGAACCCTGCCTTGTCATCAGTGAGATGTGAGAATATAAACCCTGCCTTGTCATCAGTGAGATGTGAGAATATAAAGCCTGCCTTGTCATCAGTGAGATGTGAAAATATAAACCCTGCCTTGTCATCAGTGAGATGTGAGAATATAAACCCTGCCTTGTCATCAGTGAGATGTGAAAATATAAAGCCTGCCTTGTCATCAGTGAGATGTTACCAGAATATTAACCCTAGTCTATGGTATAACCTGCCTCAAGATCAGTGAGGAGACATAATATAAACCATGCTTTAACATCAGTGAAATGTGAGAATATAAACCCTACCTTGTCATCAGTGAGATGTGAGAATATAAACCCTGCCTTGTCATCAGTGAGATGTGAGAATATAAACCCTGCCTTGTCATCAGTGAGATGTGAGAATATGAACCCTGCCTTGTCATCAGTGAGATGTGAGAATATAAACCCTGCCTTGTCATCAGTGAGATGTGAGAATATAAAGCCTGCCTTGTCATCAGTGAGATGTGAAAATATAAACCCTGCCTTGTCATCAGTGAGATGTGAGAATATAAACCCTGCCTTGTCATCAGTGAGATGTGAAAATATAAAGCCTGCCTTGTCATCAGTGAGATGTGAAAATATAAACCCTGCCTTGTCATCAGTGAAATGTGAAAATATAAACCCTGCCTTGTCATCAGTGAAATGTGAGAATATAAACCCTGCCTTGTCATCAGTGAGATGTGAGAATATGAACCCTGCCTTGTCATCAGTGAGATGTGAAAATATGAACCCTGCCTTGTCATCAGTGAGATGTGAGAATATGAACCCTGCCTTGTCATCAGTGAAATGTGAGAATATGAACCCTGCCTTGTCATCGGTGAGATGTGAGAATATAAACCCTGCCTTGTCATCAGCGAGGAGATATGATAATATAACCTTGTTTTAACATCAGTGAGACGTTATGAGGATATAAAATCTAGTCTATGGTATAACCTGCCTTAACATCAGTGAGGAGATATGAGACCAGATAACATGCTGCTGTGGTGGAGCTGCCTCGTCAGGCCACATTGTGACATCTCCAGGAGACCCGTGAAGATCCAGGGTAGAATAGGTCTTCACCAACCCATGCTTGCTGTAAAAGGCGACTATGCTTGTCGTAAGAGGCGACTTACGGGATCGGGTGGGCAGACTCGCCGACTTAGTTGATGCATGTCATTGTATCCCAATTGCGTGGATTGATGCTCATGATGTCAATCACTGGATTGTCTTGTCCAGACTAAATTATATACAGACCACTGTCATATTGCTGAATGCGGATTAAACAACAAACAAACAAGACATTTACAGGAAAACAGCTGAGTAGGCAGGAATGTGTAGAAGTCAGTATGTTCTACATACTGTTTGTGTTTCAGACTCTAATTGCATCCTGCCAGTTCTGTATTGCTTCTTATATTTATCCCGGGCAAAATACTAGTCCCCAATATTATATATGATACAGTATGAATATTAATAATCCCAACAAAAGATTAATTGATTAAGTGAACACAAGGCAGGTGCACTGGATAAAACAGTCTGTGTGTGAGGATATCCATGAAATGTAGGTCCACAATAAAATACATGACATGAATATTGCATATTAATGGTGAATAAAAGTTCATCAATACGTATCGTGTGCAATGGAATCTGTACACACTGAATATTGATGTAAACTATTCACTAACTTCAAACCTAGATTCCTACTTTACTGTAGCCTGATGTAGCTGGACTGTTTACACTGATGAGTTCACAAAGTGCAGGATGAAAATAACATCTTGCTTCAAACCTTACCATCATATAACCATCATATTACTGTCAAATTAAAGTCATATTAAATTTTACTGTCTTATTTCCATCATATTACCGTTGTTTTACCATCATCTTACCATGGTATTACCATCATAATACCGTTATATTACCATCATATTACTATCATATTTCCATCATATATTTTACCATCATGTTGCTGTCATATTACCGTCATATTACCATCATATAACTGTCATATTACCATCATATTACCATCATATAACCATCATATATTTTACCGTCATATTACCGTTGTATTACCGTCATATTACCATCATATATTTTACCATCATTACCATCATATTACCATCGTATTACCATCATGTTACCATCATGTTACCATCATATCACCATCATATTACCATCATATTACCATCATATGACCATCATATTACCTGCGACAAGCACAAGGTGGAGTGAAAATAATAATTCACTTTGTCAGATGTTAAGATGAAAACGTAAGAAATTTGCTTTCTGATGTGAACTTGGACCCTGCTACACAAAGCCATCGTGGCACTTTGATTGTCTGTGTTAAATTGTGCAAGTTACAATCATGTTAGTGCTACGATTGCTATGTGAAATGAGGCCCTGATCTTGACACAATTATAGAAGCAAATATCTGAAGATTGTTGGAGAACCAATGATTTATGTTTTTATCTCCATGTTGGGTAGAGGGGTCGGGGGTCGGGGGTCGGGGGACGGGGGTCGGGGCTGACAATCAGCCTGCCACAGCGTTCGGTACTGCAGGTATCACACTGGAGAAGCTGTGTGAAACTCTATACACTCATTTATTGATCGGAGCTGTTTTTTTATTCATGAGGCTAAAGATCATTACTTATCAAATATTAATGTAACAGTTAACAAGATGTCATGGAGAAAATATATTGATTGGTGTGGGCTTGAACCATCAGTGATGTTTGAACTTACAGAAATGGATGGATTAGCGTTTGTTTAGTCGGAGGTGCTTTAAATTTAGAATGCACAGAGTCTTGTATTCTTTTGCATTGGTTGGCATTTCCTGACAGGATTTGTCCAGTGGGGAATTAATAGAATGACTTCCCTCAGCATCCTCCCTGAGGTAGTGGGGGGGGGGGGGGGGGGGGGCAGCACCCCTTGCTTTGAACAGCTGACTAACACTGGGGTTGGGGGATGGATGGACTCACTCACTCACTCACTCAGTATTGTACACATTGTATTCGACTGTACAATAGTTGTCTCCCTTATCTGTGCCAGGATCTACTATTGCCACATTAACCTACATTATCATGCTGTCACCACTACCCTGCTCGTTGGTTTCACAAAGTGTTAACATCTGTGACTTGTGGCAGTTTCCTCCCACATGGACACCATGACAACCCAGAAGTACTCTTCAGGACATTATTGTGCCCAGTTCACACCACTCCTGTGTTAGAAATACACTTTCTATTTAATATGTCTGAAATGTAAACACATCATACTATCATCCTTATCACTTTCAAAGTGATGTATCCTATCAACATAAAAACCAGCGACATATAAACGCTGTACACCCTGCTGCAACACCGTCCACAGAGAGCCCTATGTGGCAGCACTTAATCCAATCTACCTTGGTTATTCCGTGTCTACACGCTGTAGTCTAGACCCTCCTCTGTACGTGGATGCAGTTTGATTATTGGGTCTGTGTTGGGCTTTTCACTTTCCCTAAATCTCCTATCCGGGTCAGCCCTGGCTAGAGTTACTGCAGCAATCGTTTAACAAATATTTCCACTTCTGTCGACATTCCATCGATATTGGGCAAGGCTACAATAAGATACTTCAGGGCGACCTGTTCTCCCGGCTGTGAAATATGTCTTTAAAATAGATTAAGAAGACAAATTATTTGTTAGTGACCAATAAAAGAAAGTTGATTTTAAAGCAACCTACCCGCAGTTTGTTATCCAGTGAACTCTCTCGTGGTTTCATCTCACAGATCATAACAAACACAGTTCAACTGAGGTCATTGCTCATACAAGTGATTTTTGGTTTTTTTCAAAGGTAAGTCAAGGTTCTCGTTAGTAATCTTGACATTTTCTTGATCTATTGATTGATATTAATAGTTGCCTGACTGACAGTTACCCACTGTACCCAAGAACCTTACAGTGATTGATGATCACTAGCAGCAGATTAGATACTTGTTGTCGGCAGTCATGCGGCTCATCAGAAAGTACATCACAGATGAAGCTGCACGGGAAATGACACCACAACACATTTACCCACTGATTGGATGACAACACCATGGGGAGTCTAGGTAGAATAGGGACCAATGTTTATAGTTGGAAACAACTACATGAAATTAACCCCGCTCGATCACTCACTCACTCACTCACTCACTCACTCACTCACTCACTCACTCACTCACAGACAGATCTGACTAGCACACCTCCCATTTTGCCACATAGTCAGGACGTTGGCTGCAGGCAGGGGATTATAGCTTGATATTATTGTTTGTTTGTTGTTTAACGTCACACTTGAGCAATACTTAAGCTATGTGATGGCAGTCTGTGTGTCATCGAGTCTGAACCAGACAATCTAGTGATTCACATCATGAGCATCAATTTACGCAGTTGGGACATGATGACATGCATCAACCAAGTCAGCGAGTCGACCTACCGATCCCGTTGCCTCTTGTGACAAGCATGTATTGGTTGAGGCCAATTCTAACCTGGATCTTCACGGGGGAGACAAGCATGGATTGCTGGGGGCCAATTCTTACCTGGATCTTCACGGGGGACACAAGCATGTTTTTGGTGGAGGCCAATTCTACCCCGGATCTTCACGGGGGCTTGTTATTTCGTACACCGAGCCCGAGGGTGTAGTGTTGTGTTCAGTGTAGGTAAGCTTCTCACTGTCAGTGTCAGGACAACTTCCTGGTAATCGGAGTGTTATATGACTGGGAGTTATGTCATGTGTGTCATATTTAAAGGGGCAAGATAAGTTATTTTAGTTTTAATTGTTCTTCTCCGATTCTTTGACAAAGAGGAATTTGCTACATAGAAGTCATCTGAATATTGATACATCAGAATAAACCTAGACAGGAATTCATCTCTGAAAATGAAGGTGCCGCCAAACATACACAGCCAGGAATAGTTCTACACAGTCATTGCAGTATGTTGCAGCTCTCTGAAGGAAACAGGAATCACTTTTTACATAACAAAAAGATTATTTTGTTTATAAACGATTTTTCTATTAGAATATGCTTACAACATATTTGCCATAGAAAATACAAGTGAACCTGTTGTTGTAGCTTGAAGTGAAGTGTTATAGGACATGCATCCTCAGACAGCATATTTACTACACCGGTGAGATATAAGTGTTCTCACTGCACGGTGATGTGCTGCATGTCGTGTGCCCTCTGTGAGTGATGGATACAGTTGGGACAGCGTTCATAACACTCACTTCTGAGGGTCCTTTCAGAACATGTTTTCAGCAGAATCGGCTACTGCAAACTACAAATTATAATACGAAAATAAATCGTACTTTACATTATCCATTATCCCCTTTAACAGTAAAGTCTTGCATAATATGTAACCGTTTTCAAACCCCAAAGGGTTCCATAGGTCCTTCATGACTGCACTTGTTGTACCAAGTCTGTGAGTCTAGGGCACCCGTGAAGATCTGTGTAGAAAAGGTCTTCAGCAACCCATGCTTGCCGTAAAAGATGACTATGCTTGTCGTAAGAGGCGACTAACGGAATTGGATGGTCAGGCTCGCTGACTTGGTTGATGCATGTCATCGTATCCCAATTGCATAGATCAATGCTTATGATGTCAATCACTGGATTGTCTGGTCCAGACTTGATTAGTTACAGACCACTGTCATGTAGCTGAAATATTACTGAGTGCGTCAAGAAACAACCAACAAACTATGCGTCTAGGGACACTAGATATTAAACCTGTAACATTAGGCTGAGGTGAGGGCTGCTTGACTTCCATGCTTATGTCTGTATGCTTAACAATATGTAGGCTCCTGGGTGTCATGTCTCGCTTACTTCAGGTATTGATACATATTGCAGAATGAGTCAGGATACCACAGATGTGTATCGAGATGCTCAAGTTGCAACAATTTTGCCTGAAATCCTCCATGGTCCTGTTTCTTTAATAGTTGTGTGCAGTGAGATTTAGCTTCCTGATATGTGGTAAGGTAATGCAAGCCCAGGAAGTATCAGACCCAGTTAGAACGAAATAAAGTAAATATTACTTTTTGAAAATACATAGGGCCCATGAAGATCCGGGATGGAATTGATCTTCAGAAACCCATGCTTGCCGTAAAAAGGCGACTTATAATGCTTTTCGTAAGAGGCAACTAACAGGATCGGGTGGTCAGACTCGCTGACTTGGTTGATGCATGTTACGATCCCAGTTGTGTGGATCGATGCTCATGTTGTCAATCACTGGGTTGTCTTGTCCAGATTCAATTACTTACAGACTGCCGCCATATAGCTGGAATATTGCGGCGTTAAACAACAAACAAACAAAAAAACCTAGAAGGCAGCACTTACCTCTTGTTGAGTTGATGGTGGTACTGCCATCAGTGTTCCTGCATCACTGTTATAGATTTCTGCATCCTAGTGGCGATCAGCTGACTGTACGTGTTCACCACTGATTGCCAGCATCGCCGTGTAGGGGTAACAGATCCTGCTATTGCTGGGATTCAAGTTGACACCACAGAGATAATGACTCAATGTACACCAGCACCGTGGAACTGTCCGTCACACACAACTCCAGAATCCTAAATTCATGACATGATGATCAGATTGGGTTGTGGCACAACAGAGGCTGCCAGTTCCCCCTCTCACAACGGATGACGGCTGACCCCCGACACAGCAGCAGCATGACAGCATCGGCGGCAGTGACAGCTTCTATAGAAACAGTGTACACAACATCGTCACTGATCATGCAGGCCCTGTTTAATTCTCACTGCCTAATTGTGTTGGGGAGACTGGCTTTTGTTCCCATGCTTGTCAGTGCTGTGTTGCCCAGGCTGTTCCATTGTCTCCTGCACAAGACGCGGCACTGCTTGATGTATGAATGGAACTGGACGTCCACACGATCTCCCCATCCTCAGAACAAGATTACCAACAAATTCTCATTGATCTGTATAGCCACTGTCACAAGATATGCAAGTGACACATTAGGTACAGTGGCAAGTAAACCCAAACCACAATCTGCTAATTCAGTGAGCTGTTTAGAAGGCAGTGCACACAATATGGCTCGCTCACTGCGTTCACTCAAGCAGAACCAGTCAGTAAGGCAGTCAGGATAGTCTTCTGTACACTTCGGCACAAACACACATGGTATCCGAACAATAACATGCATCACGGATCACGATTCACTTGAACCATCATGGCTTATCCTCATAATGTATGTCCGTCTGCCATCGCGGCTCGGCACCAGTTCAATACATTCTGCCATTCTTAGACCGCTCACTATCAGGCATGGCTGGCAGGGAGGATGGAGCAGAGTCCATGGCGGGAGGGAGACGGAGCCTGAGTCAGGGATGGGGACTGCTTCGTCTTCTGCCGTCTGCTATTGATTAGCCATCATGATTACTGCTTCCATGTTTCTTTAGTCATGTGCTGATCGGGACACATCTGCCGTTCAAATCGCATCAATGGCAGCAATCACCACTCTGTTCCCTTCAATCAGTTCTAGGCCCTGATTCCTCCAGCTCCGAGCGCCAGCCTTCAGTCGTTCAAACTGTTTCTCTGTTTCTTCACTCGCTCATTCACCAGACTCCAGCAGTCCGTCTCTCCTCATTGTCATGAGTGACTTCTAGAATCGCCTCATCTATAATTAGTCACTCCTTGTTCCAGTTGTCAGAGGGTATATACTGTGTTTATATCCTTGATCATTGTCATGTGGGTGACAGTTTTTATATCCTTGATCACAATGTAATGTGGGTGATACACGTACAGTGTTTATATCCTTGATCATTGTCAAGCGGGTAACAGTGTTTATATCCTTGATCATTTTAATGAGCTTGAATCAGTGTTTATATCCTTGATCATTTTAATGAGCTTGAATCAGTGTTTATATCCTTGATCATAATGTAATTGTAGATGAAACACTGTTTATATCCTTGATCATATTAATGTGGTTGATACAGTTTTTATATCCTTGATCATTTTAATGTGGGTAATACACTGTTTATATTCTTGATCACTGTAATGTGGGTGATATTTAATTGTTTATATCCTTGATCATTGTCATGGGTGCGATACAGACTTTATATCCTTGATCATCACTGTGCCCTTGTTGTCAGTAGGAACACACAGCAGATACATATGGGGAAATACAAGCGAGCCTGAACACAACCTTATTGACAAAGTGATCACACACATGGATTGACCTGATGTGCATTAGGAGGGTGGGATGTCTTGTTAATGAGGATCAGGCGGGTTTTGTCAGACATTTAATGATTTCTTGTATCTATAAAGACTAAACATGATAAGTGTGTATTTGACAATACATGGAATGTCAGATTAATTTGTGATACAAAGTAATTGATGTTATTGTGCTTTAATTGTACAAAGATAAATTGATAGGTGTTGGAGGTAGAGGTCAGTGTAGCACAGACAAACTTTTCTTTGAACAATAACCTCCCTACTAAAAAGACAACTAAAAGTATACACAGTGATATAAAGTCAGCACACACGTCCTCCACACTTGGGCTGACCGAGTCCTGCCCTCTGACCTCTGTGTCATGCCACCAGCGTGTCTTGTGTCTTGCCAAGTTTAACAATAATAACATAGATTATTTAAATAATTAAAATATTATGTCACATCTGCTATATTCCAGATCTTTATTCAGTACAGTACAGGCCACAGGCCCTTTGTACAAAATGTATGGCATATTTATGGCAACAGTCACAATGATAAAATACGTGTTCTCTCTTCTTTACTGTGATACAGATATTTAGCGATATTAATAATCAGCTTTGTGTTGGTTGTAGATAAAAGAATATTAAACTTATGGACATTTGGGTGTAGATAATATTTTGAAGGAATATAGAGATGGCTTAGGTGAGTGTATGCAGGGCACACTAGCAGGAAATGAAACTCTTTTTCTATTAGGCCAACTTGACATAGTTTGCAAAATCTTTCTTCACGAGGGTTATAAGTTTTCTACCAGTTTCTATATCCAGCCAGTGTGCGCTGCATCTATACCTTGACATACATGACCGGAATTTACTCACGGTTACACAATACAAATATTCTTCACACTTCAACGTTAATTTAAAATGAAAATAGAAGGACATTTTGGAGCTATTACATAAACTTCTATGCCATATTTGTTGAAAATTATCTTTCAAACATTGAAATAACATCAAAGTAAATACCTGGGTGACCGGGTGATTGTGATAACCAAACATGACCAAATCCGAGTGAAAATAACGTTCTAATTATAATATTAGTAACCCAATTCTTCTTTCCTTGACTATCGTATAGATACATCATTTCATAACACTTTTTAGGTAAGCGGGTACCCGGCATGCACATTAAACATAGCCAATATTTAAAAGCTCTCATCATTGCATTGATATGTAAAGGGAATCTGCCACATTCAGCCAATACAGCGCTACTTGATGTACATTGTTTAACATTCAATAACCATTTACATGCATATAAATGAACTTTCTCAACTTCTCCCATTTTATGGATTGCCCATATTTCTGACCCATACAGTAACATAGGTGATATCTTGGAGTCAAACAATCTGAAAAGAAATTTTGGAGAATAAGGTTGTAAACAATTAATGCTTTTCAATAAGTTGATTAGTACCATTTTAGCTTGAACTGCTATGTTGCTTAAAGCTTGTGTCCATGAGAGCCTGCTGCTAAAAAACAAACCTTAATATTTATACCCTTGTGTGACTTCCACAAGTTGTCCATTCAGATACCATTTTTCACTTTTTTTCAGCCGCCCACCTTTCTGAAAAACTACAATTTTAGTTTTTTTCAATGTTAACTGACATACTCCAGTCCACACAATATTGATTTAAGATAGATATTTCCATCTGTAGTCCCCAATAGTGTCTGAAATTAAAATCAAATCATCTGCAAAGAGCAATAATAAAACTTGTATAATATCAGGGCGTATCTGTACTCCGTATAGCTGCTCCTGTTCCATTGTGTGTACAATTTCATTTATGAATCATTAAAATAAGAAGGGGCTTAAAACGCAACCTTGTCTTACACCTAAACTACATTGAAATTGGTTTGACAACTGGTTGTTACTTCTGACACATGCCTTGACATTACCTTAAATTGACTTTAACATTTTGGACATCTTCGTGCTGACACCGTGCTTTCCAAATACTTTCCACAAATAAGAACGACGAACAGAGTCAAACGCCTTTGAGAAGTCTATAAAGGCTACATATAACTTACGACCAGACATACCTAAATATCTTTGAATAATAGCATTTAAAATAAATAGATTGTCAATTGTCGAGTGTCTTCGTCTAAAGCCAGATTGACATTCTGATATTTTGTCATACTTATCTGCCCAAAATTAATCTATTATTTAATATACTTGTGAACACTGACAAAATACTCAATAAACTAATAGCTCTATAGTTATCTTTGATTTATCTTGAGCCTTTTTTATGTAATGGGATAATAACACCTGTATCCCAATCTTTTGGAAAAACACTACTATCAAAGATACAATTGAAAATTATCTCAACATGAGAGACAATGTAATGTAGTGCAAACTTCAGGTATTCCGGGAGAATATTGTCCATACCAAGTGATTTAGAGTTTTTGAGAGAATTAATACTGTCAATAATTTCATCTTTTGTGATTGGTCCATCCAGGATGTCACGGGAGATTTCCTCGCTTTCTATTATTAGTGGTTCGGCTTCGTGGTTTCATAAAATCTTCTTCAATGGTAGATTGATTAAATAAATGTTCAAAGTATTCCATCCATTATTTTGAATCTATGGGATTATAGTTAATTTTCGTATTCTGCAAGTCCTTGATATTCTTCCAGAATGTCTTTGAATCAGTAGTTTGCTCCAGTGTAATACATTTACTGGTCATGTAATCCCCTTGTTTTTTTCTACAAATAGTCTTATATTCATTCCTAATTTGATGGTAGTTCAGCAAGTCTTCATTGTCTTTAGTATTTCTAAATTTGTTAAGTGCACGAAAGCGTTCGTGTTTCATTAACAGACAGTCATCATCAAGCCACGGGTTTCTTGTTTTACAAATATGTTGATGATTGTTATTATTATTCCACGGTTTTTTTAACATGCTGCTGAAAGAATTGCCTCTGTAAACGTTGATACACTCTTGTCTATGTCAGTAAGAGCTTCTAAGCTCGCTTTTTCCAGATTCGTTGCAATTTCGGGCGATTCCATATTATGTATGAACTGTTCCTGCTTGTAATCCACCCAGGTGTATCGAACACGACGGTCTGTTGATTGCGTTTCCGCGGAGCATTTTACAACAGGCGTTGTCATAGTTACAGGTAGATGTAGTGAGTCACATCGAGGCACAACCATGGAGTTATGAAAGTAACATAAAGATAAAGGATGTGATGGGGGCATTTTATGCAGATGAAATATTTTAGACCATAATTTTGGTAAGACTGTGCAAGTATATTTCAAGGCAAATGCATCAAAAGACAAGAGGGTGTTATTCTATTTATTGTGCAGTTTGTAACCAGTTATTACCAGTGTAAAACATGTAAAAAGTGCAGCCACCTGCTTCAAAATCAGGGAGATTAGTAATGTCATTTGATTGTGTGTCACAATGGTCACCCAAGTGATATCTACTGCGGAAGCAAGTTTTAGATGATTAATAGATGAATTTTTTATTTTTTCTAGGGGAAAAGGTAGGGGATTCATCATTTGTAAACAATGGCCAATGTGTCTCGCCACTTAGACTGTTTTCAAGCAATTCTACAATTAATTCAGCCAAATTGGATCATTTTATTTGTTCATGTTTTATAAATTCGCCAGTACAAAATGTAAGAAATTAAAATTCTGAGAACTGGTTCTATCTTTTCCTTATCTCTTATAGGATTTCAGAAATGTAAAATATTGAAAAAAGTTTAATGTGGGAAGGCCCTGTTCCGTTTTATTCTTTTTAAGAGACACAATTTCTATATTTCAACTCACCAATTATACTTTTAAAATAATTGATTTAAAAAAATGTTTATACAAATTATATTATATATCCTTCATCAACCTCACAACCCTGTCTTTTCCAGCAACACCAGGAACAATTTTGGGAACTTTGAATTCAAAACCTTTTTTATCCAATTAAGAGATGAAAATGGCTATGAAAAGGGCATATCAGTTTCTTTTGTGTTCTTTTTATGCATTTCCTTAAAAATGAGTGATATTAATTTGTCTCGGTTTGTACGGTTTAGTCAGCTATGTTGGGTTTCGGCTGTTCAATGACTCAGAGTGAGAGTCTCCCCCAGTCCTCAGTGGAGCGACTTCAAGAATGGGGATTCTTATGGGGCAAGCCGTCGGTAAAATCGAAGAATGTTTCTACTTCAATAAGTTATGGGCAGCTTTTTTTTTGTAGAGGTTCAAAAATGAACAGAGCCATCAGTTAGCAGCGAGCATGGCAATCCTCAGGGCATCAGACACTGAACATGTGGTTCGGAAAGATTCATGCACTGTACAGAACACAGTCATGCACTGTACAGACCACATTCATGCACTTTACAGAACACATTCAGGCACTGTACAGAACACATTCATGCACTGTAC